ACACGATCCTAACATAGTCCCGGTTTCCATGTTTTTGTTTTTTTCGCTGTCTTGCACACGGACGTGTAAAACCCATTGTGAATAGCACAAAATGGACACAAAGTGCTGTAAAACGCAGAGCATTTGAACATGGCGCAAAATCCATGGTGAGAGAAAGTGCCATAGGCGTTGTCGAAATAGCAAAATGCTTGTTGTCAAAACAAGCAAAATCAGCGGCACCGCAACGGACGACGTTACCTAGTTTTTGTGCATGGGGTTCATTTTTTAAATGCACAAAAACAATGAGAACTGGTTCTGCTATAAAATGCGTTTCCGGCAAATGCACGCCGAACTCGCATCCAAGTTCATCCAAATTCGAAGTCCCTCAAAAACGCCTCCTTAAAAAGGTGCCTTTTTTTTTTCAGACAGAAGTATTTTAGAGTGAAGGTCCCAAAATATTTATTGTTTTTCCTCTTGTTTAACATTTTGTAGCAGCAACGAAATACCGTGGCATTCTTTCATAGCAATTCCTTACAATCCCTTAAAACTCCCTAAAATTCTTTCAAATTCCCTAAAAATTCCCTCACATTCCTTCGGGTTTTTTAAAATTCATGAAAGTTACCTAAAATTCCTGTAATTTCCTTTAGATTTACCGAAAATTCTTGAAAATTCTCTGAAATTTACTTAAAAATCCGAAAAATTCGTTTATCTAAAATGACATGCCCAATAAAATCGATATAAAGAGATCCTGGAGAAGCACTGGTTCCATTCTGCAATAAAATCAATAAAATGTTCCAAACACTGTTGTTTTTGCAATAAACATTAAAATGGAATTTTAACATGTTAAAAATCATCGGATTTCCCTGGCCAATAATTTGCGCAGACCAACCCCTTAATGATAAAATGACTAGCCTGAATTCAATGTTGAAATTCCAATACATTATGGATCTTGCTTAGTCTATGCACAAGTCATCCATTTCTAGTGTGGAATTTGCCACAGGGATTTGGAAACCACTTCAAGTTATTGCTACCCTTTTTTCAGAGCCCAACATCCGACCCAGTGTGCGGTTTCGAATTTTCGATCGAATTTTTCGAACATGCCCAGTTCACTAGACGTATCAACCCTAATAGTCGCCCAGGACAGCCCACAAAAAAATAATTTCAACAAATGCAAAAGTTGTAAAATTATGTTGTTTGTTTGTCGGTGGCTGTTTGTTGATATTATAATTAATTATCGCATGTAATGGCCAAAAAAGTGTAACAAAAGCACGGCGCAAAAATTTTTGAACTGCAATCGTCAGAGCTATGGGGTCACGAAAACGATCTGAGCGCACAATTTCAATTTCAATTGATCGGTTTTGAAACCAAGTCTGTCCCATTTTTCCTTCCTGAAGTCTTGACATGAAAAGCATGTTTTTCGATATTTTTGGGTTTATCTGGAGAGGGGACGTAGTAAGTTTTACAAAACGTTGTGCACGGGTGTGTCACTACAAAATTCAGCGCGTGACAAAAGTCATCCAGAAACTAGGACATCACGCATCGAATCTCTGCTTTAGCGGTGAAAGGAACTCTGAGCATGGATTCTTTGAACTTGAGTGAACCTTGACTTATCGGACAAAAAAAAACGCAGGAATCTAGCAGAATGGGATACATTTAGATTATAGTTAATAATCGCATGTAATGGCCAAAAAAGTGTAACAAAAGCACGGCGCAGAGATTTTGAACTGCAATCGTCAGAGCTATGGGGTCACGAAAACGATCTGAGCGCACAACTTCAATTTCAATTGATCGGTTTTGAAACCAAGTCTGTCCCATTTTTCCTTCCTGAGGTATTGACATAAAAAAATATGTTTTTCGAATTTTTTGGGCCTTATCTGGAGAGGGGACGCAGTATGTTCTACAAAAGGTTGTGCACGGGTGTGTCACTACAAAATGCAGGGCGTGACAAAAGTCATCCAGAAACTAGGACATCACGCATCGAATCTATGCTTTGTCGGTGAAAGGAACTCTGAGCATGGATTCTTTGAACTTGAGTGAACCTTGACTTATCGGACAAAAAAAACGCAGGAATCTAGCAGAATGGGGTACATTTAGATTATACTTAATAATCGCATGTAATTGCCAAAAAAAGGTATGACAAAAGCACGGCGCAGAGATTTTGAACTGCAATCGTCAGAGCTATGAGGAAACAGAAACGATCCAAGCGCACAATTTCAAATTCAGTTGAATGGTTTTGAAACCAAATCTGTTCCATTTTTCCTTCTTAAGGTCTCTACATTTATTTTTTTCGATTTTTTTAAGGTTCATCATACCACGAGATGATTGTGAGTCAAGGGCCCAACATGGTCTGAGGGTCCAAGCTATATGTTAATGTGAAGGAGCATGACTGGCAGAAGAGGGCTGTAGGGTTTCCTGTATGAGCCAATGCATCCCAAAATAAATCCCTACAAAATGCATTTCCGATTTTCAAGTGCCAAATGAAACGCCGCTACAAAATGCAGCGCGCGCCCTCTTACTACAAAAACTGGTGCACGACTCCATTTTTTTGGCTTGAATTCTCCACGAATCAGAGGATGGTACAAAGCACGTTTTCACCCTTTTAGTAGTGGAAATGGTGAGGGGGATGCTTTCACATTTTCCACTTTCACTTTTTGAGGGCATAGTCTCGCAGGAGAGTTTCTTATTCACATCTTCAACTTTCACTTTTTGGGGTGATAGTCTCGCAAGGGCGATTCGTTTTCACATCTTCAATTTTCACTTGAAAATAGTTTCGCAAGAGAGTCACGAGAGTTTCGTTTTCACGTTTTCAACTGTCGCTTGTAAGGGGAGTCTTGCACGAAAGTTTCGTTTTCACATCTTCAACCTTCACTTTTTATATTTTTTATATTTTTTATCACTTTTGAGGGAAGTCTCGCACGAAAACTGCGTTTTCACAATTTGAAGTTGCAGTTCAAGTGGGACACCGCTGCAGCAAGGAGTTTTTGCTGATTTTTTCTCGTTTTTTGCGTTTTTCATTTCCCTTTTAAAATTCTCCCGGTTTTGGATGGTTTTGGAGCAGGTTTTCGCCGAGAAACTTTTGTCTGGCCAATGTAATTCTACTGATTTCTGCAACCTGGTGTTTGCAAATCGCATTGGAGTGGTTGCGTCAATGTTGCTGTGCGTTGCGATTTTCACATTGATCCCTTCCAACATAGCTTCTGATGAGTCACGGGTAAAAAGAAACATTGCAGCTACTTGTCAAGGCGCCACCGGTGTGAGGGATGATTGCTGCAAGCGTTTCTTTCCGAGACGGCATTTGAGTTGCGTTCAAAAGGCTTTGTTCTTCTGAAGGCGCCAAGGGAATGCTTACGCGGCAGCTTGCGCGCTGCTTACTACGTTCCCGCAGTTTTAGCTAACGCTGATGCTTACGCCGGCTTACACACACCAGGGCGAGGTCCTTATTATTGCCACCCGCTTACTAAAAATGAATAAGGGTGTTTTGGACGTGGTTCATTTTTTTGATCTTATATTGTCGTTGGTGGTTTCAGGGTCATGTCATGGTTCTCTAGAAATTATATCAAAAATAAACCCCAAAAGTCTGTGGAAAACATGACAACGCCGTGGAAAAATTGGAAAACAGCGACAGCGGTGGACAACTTCCAAATCTGGATAAATTTGGTTTTGGCATTTTGGAGTGGGATTCCACAATTTTGATTGTGAATGTGCAATCAAATTGATGCACGTGTTGCGCACTTGGATTTATCCGCAGCCTCTGTGAGAGTAACACCAGCGCAAACTCACTCCTTTGCAGCCAACGGTTTAACTTTCGTGTTGCTCCCAAATAAAGCCGAAATGGCACCTGCTAGTAGTATTCCCGAGAAGGCAAGGAAACAGCTGCCATAGCACCTTGCAAGCTAAAGGGTCCCGAAAACTAACAGAGAACTGAAAACTGAATTTCCTAGAGTTGACAAGGTTTGATTTTTCTGTCGGCTGTTGGTTTTGCCACTTTCACTGTGCCACTCTGTGAGGGCATGTTTGGCTGGAACTCGCAAGAGCAAAAACTGCAAGCCAGCTATGGCATGACAGCGCTATGAAAGTGAATTAAATGGTTCTTTGCTCGGACGTGCTTTTCTTTTGTCGCTGGGCAACTGTAGGTGGGGCAGGTGGGCTGCGACAAGCGACCCTCAAACACGTTGTCAAAATCAAACGATTTGTTTGTTGTTGTTTTTCGCAGCCATTTGTATCGGCCGGATGTGAAACCACTTGCGGCCAAAAGGACCAATGCTCGCTTCTGACCAGAGAACTGGGTGCCAAAACCTGTTACGAAGCAACCTCTGGAAAGCAGAATTTTGGCTTGAGAAATATGTTTTACATTTGATTGATGTTCATTAAGTGAAATAAAATGAAATAAATCATAACCCTCGCGATACGCCTTTCAACTTCCCCATCAAGTCACGTTATCGCTTTGAGTAATTCCCTGTCCATAATTTGCGACAAATTTTCAACTACCAGTGCAGGACCTCCAATATAAAGGGTTCTGTATGGACCTTTCAAGTCTTTTCTCACGTCAGTCGCGTCTTTAGGAAGAAGTGGGTAGGGTAACACCTGGCGTACAGAATTCGTTTGATTGGCGGTCGGAGGCGCAGAAAGAGGTTCCAGCTACGGTGGGTGCTTAAGAAGGTGCTATTTTTGATCCCTGCGGTGTTGTTTGGTGCAGGGCGGTCACACCCTTGGCACCTGGTGTAACAACATGGTGAGAATGTGCGAAGAACGCTGCTTGCAGAGCAGCATGAAAAATCAGGGTACGTGCTGGCAGAGACAAGATACATATTCTCACAACAATGCTTGCTTGATGCACTGTTCGAAATCAAAGCTCAAAGAAATGCGAAGTGCAAAAGCCGCGGCATCTTTTGCATCAAATGGCATATTGGCTCATTCGGCCGTCTGATGAAAGGAACGTGGGCACGACATTTGGGCCCAAAGTGGAAGGCATGATGGACCTGGCAACGCATTAGAATTGAAGGTGCATGCCTGACAAATCTTTACACTGGTCTTTGTTGTCCATCAAAAAGCCGTCTTTCGCTTAGTTCTTCACGTATCTGGCACCATGGTCTTTGACACCATTTCGTCAGGGTTTGTTGAAGCTTCTGGTCTATTTTGGTGAGGCCGTCGCAGTGCATTAGGGTGGTTGGAATCCAATGCACTTCTTTCGGTGACATGGCCTGCTGCACTGACCTAATGGAAACCATGGAGCGCTTCTCCAGAGTTGATGGGTTCTCTGAAGTGAGGCAGTCATACAAACTTTTTGCGTCTGTCGCCTGCTTCATTGGCATCTTCATTCCACATTTGAAGCTGGGCTGGTTGTGGAGCAACTCCGAAATGTGGTAATTGGCGTAGCAGGCACGGTCTGCAGCTTCGTCTGCTGCATGGGCCTCTGCAGCTAGTGTGCTCCTTGCCACTCTCTGCATTCTGCCACTCTTCCAGTCGATGACCAGGGCTTGACAAGTCTGTTCGGAGACTTGCGGAGGGCACAAGACTATGATCACGCCAAACTTCGATGTGTAGTTTGCAGCGTTGCACCAGCTTGCATCTCCATAAGCCAAAATGGTCGTCCCTTTGTTCAATGGGACGGCTGGAAAAACGATGCCGAGCTCTTTGGTGCTCTTCGCATAGGTGATAGCTTCGTAGGCCTTTTGAAGGTCTTGTATCTGCGATTTTGCACCGTGGTGGCACAAGGATGCCACGGCAGCCAAATCTGGTCTTGTCTGGCCGCTCAACCATTGCAGACTGCCAATTACTGAACGTAGTTCTCCAAGTTCTTCCGGAGAAAGTTGAGGATCGCCTTTCAGGCGGTCTTTGCCAACTTGTCCACCATCCATAGCTTCGATGAACTTCTGCTGGCTGATCTTGTAGGAGATCTTGCCATTGGCGTCTTTCTGCATGGTGATTTCTTTGCCACGATATTCTCCAGGCTGTTCCAGGGAAACATACACGATTGATCCCCAGCGAAACAACTTGAGCAAGTCGTCGATGTTGAACTTCTCAGTGTTGTACACTAGCATGAAGTCGTCGACGTGAACTATCAGAACGCAGGTCAGCATTCCATCATCGTTCACGAAATAGTAGCAGCATCGGTCAAGGCTGTGGCGCTTGAACCTGTAGTTGAGCAAATCTTTGTCTACCTTTTTGTACCAAGTCCTGGGTGCGTTGGACAATCCATAACAGTTTCCAGTGATTTGGTACAGCGGTGATGGGTATGCATTTGCAGCGGTCAAAATGGCATCTCTGGGACTTTCCATATAAATTGGTCCGCTGCGCTCGCTTGCATCTTGTTCTCCTTGTAGAAAAGCTTTCTGAGCATCAAGGAGAACCATCTTCCAAAGGCAGCCATCGTTGTTGAACGAGCGATTTGCTCCAGCTGATGCTATGCACACGATCAGCAGCTCACTGATTCTCGAAGGAGTAGGACTATCTCGAGAGAGCTGTTTCAGATCTGGATCTCCGCAGCCAATGATGACTACTCTGCATTTTGGTCGCAGTGGTGGCACTCCGCGGTTCTTGTCGCGGTAGGCTGCACGAGCCTTCATGATTCGGTGTCGTTGTTTTGGATCTGCTCGAATTTTGGCGGCATCTTCAGGGCTCACTGGTTTGATGCCGTTCCATTCAAGCCAACCATTGTACTCATCAACGGCCGCGTCCACATACTTCCAAAAAGTGTCATCGCCTTGTTGGAGGATCTGCCGCCATGGGATTTCTCTATCCATCTGCTTCATCTCCTGCCTTGACATTCCACGGTCGTTAGAGACTGTGAGTTCTTCGTCGGAAGGGGAATCAAGGTCTGGTCGTGATGGTTCAGGAATGTTGGGCATCTCCAATCGGCGTTGTTTGCTGTTGAGGTAGGCTTGATAGAAAACCTGCTTCTTACTGGCTGGGTAGCACGCTTCAGGGCTGCCATCCCATGTCAATGGTGTTGGTGCCATGCTGCCGTCATCGAAGTGCTGGAATTTCGTGATCAGCGCTTCTGCAGGTGTGCTTGCTGCTCGCTTCATTGGAAGTTGTGGTAATGGTTCGGAAGCTGCTTGTGGTAGTGGCTCCAGTTGTGCTTGTTCTTGGTTTGTAGTTTGATCAAGCTGTAGTGGTAGGTTAGGTTGTTCCGTTGTGTTGTCGATTGCTGGTCTTTGTTTTGGCTTTGCTTCATCTGCTGGAGCTCTGCTTGGCGTCCTCGACCTAGGTCTGTTGCGTGGTGTTCGAGGTACTGCTCCAAAGTTTGCTTGACCAAACTGTTGGAATTGCTGGTGTGTTGGTGAGTCAACGTTGATGTTGATAGTGCGCCTGTCTTGATAGATGTTGGTTTGTTGTTGCTGTTGCATGTATTGTTGTTGCATCGTATTTTGCTGTTGTTGTGTATAGTGTTGTACTTCAGGTGGTAATGGTGGTGGTGTTTCGGCTGGTTGGTCGGGAGTAGTCATTGGTTGATGTGGTGATGAAGGTAGTTGTTGGTGTAATCCTCCAGGAAATGATGCAAGATCCAATGGTTGTACAGCATCATGTCGTGGTGTTGACATAGGTGTGTCGGTTGCTGCTTGTTGATCTTGTTCCTCAGGTTGTTCAAGAGGTGGCATAGTGTTGGCTCTCTCCTGGATGGGTCGGAAATTGAAGATTTCCTCGTCAAGCAAGGTTGCTTCTTCTTCTCCGGCAGGATCACCTTGTTGGTCTTCCAATAAGCCTTTGCTGATGTTAGCCTCTGCATCTTTCAGCAGCTTGATGTCCTCTTGTGATGGAGTCCATGTTTCCCATCCAGTTCCAAGTCGGAGCTGCCCAATGCCAACCTTGGTTGATGTGCGTCCCACCTGAATCCAGCAGGATTTGCGATCTGGGTCATAGGCCAGAAACCTGCCGAGTGACCAACTTCCGCGCTTGTGCTGTCGAGCTCGTCCTTGCCATCTCCAATAGGCCACGGTTTGACCTGGTTGTAGTTGATGAAGTTCCTGTTGCGGTCTGGTTTTACGCAACAAGCCCCGGCGAACTGCCTGGGATGCGCTGACTTGCATCAGCGTGGTGATGGCTTCTGCCCGAAGCAGCTCAGGCCGCAGCTGGTACTCGTCTTTGTTGGGTGAAGTAATCAGCACCTTCTCATCAGACACCAAATCACCCAATGGTCTTGGAATTCGTCCAAAAACTGCTTGAAAGGGTGATCGCCCGTGGGTGTAGGTGCTGCTGTTCAAGGAGAAAGTTGCTGCAGCGATTGCTTCATCCAAGGCTTCTTTGGAGGTGATGCCATGGTGATCAACCAGACGTTCCACCAAAGTGCGCATCAATGCGTTTCTCCTCTCGATCTTGGCGATGCGCCAGTGCTCCTCGGCCGGGATGATGTCATATTCAATGCCGTAGCGGTGGTGCCAATCCTCGTTCTCGCCGAGAAAAGTCGTATCAGGGTCCACAGTGATGTGGTGAGGAAGTCCAAGAGGATGGTACCATAGTTGCTTCAGCATCTTCAAAGTTGTGGAGGGTTGACGATCATCCAAGGTATGTGCCACCAGGTAGTTGGTGAACTCATCCAAGATGCCGAGCACTGGCACATTCTGCGTCAGGGTTCTGATGTAGACCACGTCCGACTGCAGGCGGTCGCCAAACTGACTGGCGGCAATAGCATTGGTGGAAGAAATTGGTGGTTTCTTAGGCAGGCTCATCCGGAGGCAACTTCCGCATCTCAAGGTCTCGATGCCGGTCAGCACGCTTGAAGACAAAGAGTTGGATGCTGCAAGCATACGGATCAGCTCTTCCTTTGGTGGATGGCCCATGTTGGCATGCAGTCTGGCGAGGGATCGCTTGAGTTCGGGCTTCAGGGCATTGCCAGCTCCTTCGAACCATATCTCAGTGGCAATTCCTGGAACCTTCTGTGGTGTGTCATCATCTTCTTTGGCTTCAAGTTGCTGTCGGTCTTGAAGCTCATCACCTGGTGCGTACCCATAGAAATGCAGGCCAATTCGGACTGGCTCAACATAACGCTGCTTGGGGTACGTGACCTCTGACAAGTCTTCGTGTTCGATCATGATCTTGTCGTTGTTGAGGAGAAGCACTGCACCACGATGTGTGTATGCAAGGTCTGTGGGAAACCGCCTGGAAATTGGGGTCCAGGAGGCTTGCACTCGTTCAAGTTGCCATGGAACGAGCTGTTCCACCTCTTTGTGAAGAGGATCAGCCACTCCAAGAATGAACGGCTTCTTGTAGGTGTTGGCAAATCTCTTCTCGATCTCATTGAGGATCTGCTTCCATCGTTGTTCGTCGGTCGATGGATGCATGTAGTAGATCTTGTGAGGTTTGGCGAACTTGAGCGGGTCGAGGAGCTTGGCCTCTCGAGCAAGACCACGCAAGATGGCATCTGCGAGGCCGTCGCAGTAGCATCCACTTTGCGCTGTGTCTACGCCTTCAATGGCTTTGGTGAACTGCTTCTGCTCGGGCGTCAACTTGCGTTGGAGCTCCTCGGCAATCTCCTCGGAGTTGGTGATCCAGCGATGTGCTTTTATCACTGGGAATCCGTCGTGGGTTTCAGCACCATAGGCTCCAGCGTCGCACTGAACCGTGAGGACTCCAGGCAAGTTGGAAACCTCATCGACGTCCGGCTCCTTCCAGATGCGTGATCTGAGAGGGTTTTCTCCCAAAAAGAATCTTCCGGATTGGTGCTGGTGGCGCATGAGGGCTGTGCCAAGCTTCACCAGAGGTCTGTCGATCTCATCTCGAAGTTGCTCAAGTTCTTCGAGTCGGTCGGCATAGTTCAAGTTCTCGTTGAACTGTGACCAACGTGTGCACGGCCATGCAACCAGTATCAACAGGGGTCTGAACTTGTGGACGACTTGCCAGAGTGTCTCCTGATCTGCCGCATTGTTCAAGTCCAGGTTGTACTGTTGGTCAATTGGCTCCAGCGCACTCAAGCCGTGCTTCCACGCTCGAATGGTCACGTTGGCTGAACCTGCAAAAACTTCCAATAGATCAACCTTCGATCCCTTGGTCTCCCTTTTGGCATGGTTCATCAAGGAATCATAGACCTTCGTCTCGTTGTTGTATATCTTGCTCACATTGCGAAGGTGACCGGTCAGCCAAGCTTGTGTGCCCTTCTTCATATTCACTTGTTGAGGAGTTCCCAATCGTACTCCGAGCTTTCGTCCGAGAGTTCCTCCACCTCCCCGTCCCGCGTTGCCGAGGGTCTCTTGGTTGAAGCCTTCGGTCTGGCTCCCTTCTTGCTTGCCCTCTTGTCGGTGGCCTGGTCCTGCAGAGGAAGAGGAGAAGGACTTGGAGAACTCGCATAGCTCTTCGATGTGGGAATGGAGGCTCGGGCCGTTGGAGTCAAAGGCATAGCGGTCAGTGCCCAGGTTGGACGACGACCCTTCTCCAGGAACGTAGATGCCGTTGAGGACGATGGCAATGGCAGCGAGCGCTGCTTTGGCATAAGTGGATCGTTCCACTTTTCTTCCTCTGGGGACCACACCCACTTCTTCCCGCAGAGGTGGCACTTGGCGAAACTGCCGTGCTTGTTGCCGTAGCGCTGCATCGTCTCGTGTTTGCATGGTTCCTTGGCCTTTTGCACGATGGCTTCTGTTGCCTCCATGTCCATTGGGTCCTGGTACGTCAGCCACTTTTTCGGACGGATCCGAAATCTCACTGCTTGCACCATGACTCTTGCTAGTAGCATCTCTGCATGTCTCAGAGTTTCGACCATCTTCCTCCAATTGAACAGCCATCGTGGAGGAAGGCCCTTGTTCATCGGCACAATGGTCGTGGTCAACGAATTTGGGTTTGCTTGATCCGTCTGCGTTGACAAACAGCAGGTCCGAATCAAGATCAGGATCATGACACATCTTGTGATAGACACCCCAAATGTTTGACTTTGCAGCACACTCAGGAAACTGGTTGATGTACAGCGCTAAGTGTCCTGCCACTTTGCAAATGGGGACGGTGATGTCCAGCAGCCCAATGTAGGCCTCCTGGTCAGGCAGATTCAAAACCATCTTCAACTTGTTGCTCATGAGGGTACTGCTTGCCAGGAAGGGGATGTTGTTGGTGGTGGAAATCACGCTGGCACCCAAAAGCATCATGTGGTTTTCCTTGAAGTCAAAACAAGTTGGAATCAAGGCATGCTCGTGGCTAAATTGTGGGGGTCCATGACCAAACTCAAAAGGTTCTCGATTTGGTGTAGTGCGAATACGAAGACCATACATGTTGAGGATACTCTTTTTCTCGTCCAACCACATAGAACTGCAACATGACTTCTGACATGCCGTGTCTAAAACCAAGACTTCACTAAACTGCTGAGCGCTGGCACCAAAAACTTGATGGATGTCGGCAACTGGTTGATTCACCATGTAAGTGAAATAGGTGCCGAAGGATTCCTTCTGAACATCATCATCAAAAGAAACTGAACGCCGGCTTCCATCAGGATGGCGCACTTGCATAACCTTTTTCCCAGCAGGCTTGTAGGTGGTGGCGGCAGGTGATGCTGATTGCTTGGAAGATTTGCCATCTCCCTTTGGGTTGCTGCCTTTGCTAGGCGTGGCGCTGCATGCTGCGTCGCCCTGCCAATGGCCTTTCTGACCACAAACTGCACAGTGTGACTCGGCTTTTCTCTGGGCAATCGTCTTTCCGCCAGAGAACTTGCGAGCCAAGGTGATGCCTTGGAGGCGTCTTGCAGTGACAGTCAAACATCTGGCAGCTTCTTGCAATTCTCCCCAAACATCATCGCATTCGCCATCTTCATCTTCTGCCTCATTTGGAACAGGCTGTTCTCCATTCTCTTCATCATATTCTGCATTGGGCTCATGTGATTCGTCTACCTCGTTCTCCGCAGTGATCTCTTCCTTCTCATCCTCCGGGGCATTGCCATCTTCTGTCACGTAGGTCTTTTTCACAAAGGCAGAAGCATGATTGGGTTTGCCTTTCTGGTTGCCCTTGGCGGAGGTGTTGCTACGGTTCGTGGCATTGCCTTTCCCATTGCTGTCTTTGGCTCCAGCTGGTCGGTCACCTCGATCATCTCGATCGAAATCACGGGTGTAGACCACAGGTGGAGTCTGGCGATGCTCAGGAAATTGGATTTCTGCTGCGTCCTTGATGTCTTGGTACCTCAGGGACTGTCCTGTTGCGACAAGGATAAGCCTCTGAGCATCGATTCCAAGCCTCAAACGGTCCAAGTGTCTGGCACCTGCAGATTCGGCATCATACATGTTGCCGGTGTTGATACCGACGCTCAAAAGTGAACGTTCCACTCGATGATATCGATTGCAGAAAGCTTTCACTGTTTCACCATTTCTACGCTGCAGTCTCTCGAAATCATCTAAAAACTTGCGTTTCAAGTAAATTCCTTTCACCATCAAAGAGCTTCTCAAAGTCTCCAGAATGTACTCAACACCTGAGGCCGAATCAACACGCTCAATGTCGCAGTGCTCCAACTCCTCAGCTGCTTCGCCTTGAAGCTGAACATACAAAAGCATGGCGCTCTCGTTGGCAGGAAGGTATGACGCGATTTGGCGTCTCCAGACAGTCAGCTTTCTTTCCCAGCGTTGGAATGCTTGCAGATCACCTTTCGTAGCGGTCCACTGCGGCGGTTGTGGCGGTGTTCCGCCTCGAAACTTCACACCTGGATGCGGGCCTTTTGCAGGAGACCATTCTTTGGGTTCCTTGTCTTTGCTGACAAGGGAGTGCAAATCCTTCAACATAGAATCACGCCAAGCTGCATTCTTGGTGCTTGGCTGGTCACTTCCTGCATTGCTTTTCCCAAGACCAAAACCTTTTCCATGAAGTCCTCGGTTATCGAACGGGCTTGCAGGAACATTGCCAGTGGTACCTGGTTCCTTAGGACGAACAGGTTCTTTGGAAGGTCTTTGGACTTGAGGGCTATGACATACTTTGGCATCATGTGAAACTCCAGGTTGAAGCTCGTCGGTTCGTCTCGCTGCGCGGCGCTGTCGTCTTGAAGGCCTAGGCAGCAAGGTGTCGGGATCGACACATGGATCAATTGTTGCTGTTTCTGACTCAGCTTGGGCTTCATGAAATTCATGAGCTGCAGGAGGTCCTGGATCACCATGTTTGACAAATGGGCTCACAGGTGGCGGTGGAATCAGGTCACTTGACGTCGGGTGGCCATCCGGCACATACGTCCAACGTCCAGCCTGACTGCGAAAGGTTGAAGCGCGGAAAGCATCATAGAAGACGTCATGTCCACAGCGATTGCACGACCAACCACCAGTCAAGTTACGTCTCCAGTCAGGGCTCTCGCACGCCCGACACAGCCATAGATATTGAGGGCCTGTGTATCCATTCGTCAGCGAAGGCATCGTCGACGAACTCTCATCATCCTCAACATCAAACCCATGGGATCGGTACGGGTCAACTGACAGGGCATCATATCCAGCGATCGTCTCGGCGTCGTCCTGGTTATTCACACCGTCGACTGCAGAGGATTCATTTCCAGAGTGCCAGCTGTGTTGCTCCCAACTGTCATCCATGGTCGGCTCCGGTGCCAACTCACAACAATGCTTGCTTGATGCACTGTTCGAAATCAAAGCTCAAAGAAATGCGAAGTGCAAAAGCCGCGGCATCTTTTGCATCAAATGGCATATTGGCTCATTCGGCCGTCTGATGAAAGGAACGTGGGCACGATATTTGGGCCCAAAGTGGAAGGCATGATGGACCTGGCAACGCATCAGAATTGAAGGTGCATGCCTGACAAATCTTTACACATATATATATATAGCGACGGACAAATACTTAGAACATCATTTGGAAAAAAATCTGAAAATCGTCACAGCGGGGATGTTCTAAGTATTAAGTCGTTAGAACATACCCAAAACCTATACTTAGAACATTTCCAAGCTATACTTAGAACATCCCAGTGGGGAACCAATAATGAGGCATCTCCAAAACATTCAAAATTATACATAATTCATTTTAGCTCATTTTAGTATTGAAACCTATGCTTTTTGACTACCCGCTGTAGGAAACCCACAAATTATATACTAGAGACCTTCCCATTGCAGCGAAGACTGCTTGGGATATTGTTCCCGAAGAAAAGGTATAGAATGCTGCAGCAGTGAGGGGAGAAAGTGTTCTAAGTATGGTGTTCACCAAGGTATTTGTGTGTATATATGCAGATTTACCAAAGTAACAGGACATGTTCTAAGTATATGTGTGTTTAATGTTCTAAGTATGCAAAAAATCAAAGGAGATGTTCTAAGTATCTGTTTTTCTGATGTTCTAAGTGCGTACTTAGAACATTTCTGATGTTCTAAGTGTAGTTGTTTTGATGTTCTAAGAAAAGGTTCCGAAATTTTGGAAAAAATTGATGTTCTAAGTATATGCCCGTCACTATATACATATCACACCAACGGGATGTCGAAAAAGAGTTTTGTTTCAAGGCAATAAAGCGTTCCCTGCATTCTAGCGCAAAAGAGGCAGGTGCTGGTGTTATACTTATTGGTTTAATCCGGTTCCTGCCAAGTTTTTCGGATGCGGTATCTTTTTACTGCCCTGGGCGACTCCAAAAATTGCGGATGCCATCGTCGCTCGTTGCTGTTGGGTCGGCTGTTCTTGTCGCCGGTGCGACTTGATTTCTCTGTTGGATACCATCTCCGCTGGCTTTGCGTCTGCTCTTCAGTGACTGTCGTTTGGTTGTTTTCCCTTTTTGCCTTGCTGATTGTTACAGAGGATTCAGTTGCTTGATGTTAAGTCATGTGTGTGTGTTTGTGTGTGTGTGTTTGTGTTTGTGTTTGTGGTTGTGGTTGTGTTTGTGTTTGTGTTTGTGTGCGTGCGTGCGTGCGTGCGTGCGTGCGTGCGTGTGTGTGTGTGTGTGTAACATCTGAACAGATGTAAAACTTTGTTCTAATCTCTTCACATTTGCAGGGGGATGGAGAGGACATATGAGACTCCATCCAACGAAGCTCCTCATATGATCCTAGGATATCACCAGGGACGCCTGGTGACGTACCTGCAGTTCGAATTTTCTGGAATAGCATGGGGCCAAGCTAAGAACCCCAAAGACGAACATGATACATTTGCACGGTTGTCACAATCTGAACTTCACGTCGTGTCGCATCAGAACCTTCCTCAGAGCAAGGACGTAGAAAACATTTTTGTAACATTTTGTTTACATGATCGCCGACAACATCGTCGCCGACATTATTAATTTATTTATTGGCTAATCTTCGCCGAGACATCGCCGATGATAGTATTGCTGGTTTATTTATTCTTTGTGATGTCGATTCTGAACCCGATGACCATTCTGAAGTACTTCTATTATTCGTAGGATGCATCGGTAATTTCATTGTTTCGTATCTAATCTGCATGTTTCAGGATTCAGTTCCTGCCGGATCATATGATGATCCATTCTTGTCTAGTGTGATTTCCATGGTGGCTCCGACATGGTGCCATGGAGCCATTTGAGGCAACCCTCTTCAGGGTGAGTGTTGACAGTCCTGAATTCTGAATTCACACATTTTAACTTAGTAATTCGTTTAAGTAAAGTGCAACAGTCAGCCTTTCGGTTGTGCACCGTTTTTGGGTATTCTCGCTGCTCCGGCTGTCCCTTGAGACCCTTTGAGAATTGCATTCCTTACAGAGTGAGGCCGTTCTGAACCGCCAGAAACTCCATTTTTTACTACGGCCGCAACCTTTGCAGCTACACGACATCATTTCAAGACATTGCAAAAGGCAGGCACATGTCTTTCAGGTGTGGTCTTTTTCCTTTTGGTTGTCTGGTGAGGTGAAACATATTGTGCACCTAATTCGTTGGAACTTGAAAGCCGTCTTATGCCCTTGGGGCTGACTGGACTACGGGCCTGGATTGGCACAACGCACGACCTGTAGGTTTAGGAGCTGAATCCTGCGGTAAATCCTTTTGTGTGACTTTCCATTGTAGTTTTTCTTTACCTGAGCAATGTACCCGTGGACTACTCCTCCGACGTCATGGCCTGCCCCGCCGCAGCCTACGAATCCATCTTCGACGTGGCCACAATCAACGCAGAACGCGCATTTATTTGGACAGCCTTCGCCACTACATCCTACATGGTCTTCGTCGTCTTCGCTCATGCCGTCTACGTCAGTTACACCATCTTTACCATCCTTGCCATTTACATCACTGACTTCGGCCCCTCATGCGGTACCAGCCCCTCAAATCGTGCCGACAATGCCCACACCTCTGGCCCCTGAAACCACTATGATGCACACCGCTCCACCGACCTTCACTACTCCTCCGGCACCCACCGCTCCACCCACATGGCATTCTGCTCCAGCTCCATCGCCTACAACGACTACTCCACCGACACCATTGCCGAGCTCTCCATACCCACCTCGCCATCCTCACCCTCCACTATTGACGGAAGCATCAATGGTTCCTCCAGATGAACCTCCATTACCGGCAGTTAAGGCTGTCCCAAAGCTTCGCTCCGACAAGAGACCTGACAAACCACGTCGTTCAGCTCCCAAAGCCTCTGCCCCTGCGGCACCACCGGCACCAACGGCAGCACCGTCTCCATCCATTTCACCAGAACTTGCAGCGCTGGGCTCCACTACACAACAACTTGCCGAATCTGTTCGTCTTATTCAAGCTCAACAACAAATGATTCTGGATTCTCAACGCGCCCAAGAACAACGTCAGCTACTTATTCACCACGATGTACCTGCACCGGACCCTACACCGCCTACACCATTACCTACAACAACCACACCACCTACGGCCATGCCCCCACCTGCACCCAAAGCACGACCCACCGAACCTGAAGTTCCTGACCATCGCATCCTTCCTGGCCCAGCCACTTCTCCTCCTCACCACCTACATGCTCCAACATCGCCAGCGCACAGACCACGATCCAGGGCTCCACGATCACGCTCTCGTCGACCTTCTGCACAACCACATCATCGTCGACATTCTCCTCGCCGTGATGTTCGACCTCGTTCTCCCCTTCCTCGATTTCGGTCTTCCACGAAGCACGACAAGCACCGCAGAACTCCTTCTCCATACAGACGACGATCACCGCCAAGACGCCGCTCCCCCGTGGTTCCTCGACGTCATCGATCTCACCCCAGACCACGTTCCAACACCCCTCGTCGACGTTCCAGCGGCCGCGAAGTCGTACTACGACCAGCTCCACGCCCATCCAATCCGGCCTACATCCCCACACCTGATGCTGATGACACCTGGGGCGAATGGGACAACAGTCACTACCCCGACGACTACCATCACAGCACTGCTCGACCCAACTCTCCCGCCGGACCACCACCACCTGAACCATCCACCAACCCACCATCACAACCCGCAGCACCACTTGGAGCCGTGGCCTTCCGCGTCCCTGACGGTGACAGCGAAAACTCCGAGGTGACAGATACATTTTCGATCTCAAAATTTGACACGAATGACATCGACCTCAGTGAAATGGTTGAGGCGGCCAATGATCCACTCAGGGTACGTTGCCTGACCGAGCTCGAACCCGACTACACAGTACCCCTACGCCAATCCTTGAACCATTCCAACATGCAGCTCTTCAACCAGTTCGTTGACGAAATGTTCCACCAGTTGGCTCAACCATATCGCACCGTTAACAACCAACTTATTTTCATCAAAGCAAGTCAAGCCACCGTCAAGAACATTGCCAGGGCCTTTGCACAATCCAGATTACTGGACATCGAGCTGGCGAAGCAAACCAAAGCGTTTTATATCGAACCAGAGAACCTGCTGACCATCACTGTCCCAACGGGATTGCCCAAGAAACCGATCTATCGTGGCGAGCACATGGGCACCTACCTGATTTACCACAAAACGAGTTGGGAAACAGTTGCCAAGATCCTTGCTGAAGATTGCATTCGCCCGGCAACTTGGACAAAAAACGAAGCCGGCTACCCGACTCAATACCCATGCTACGGGTTCTTCGGCATGTCCTCGGAGATTCCTGACATCGATACCCTACCGGGCTATGCTGTCAAGGTATGTACATCTCAGCTTTACCGTATAGGGAAAGGACAAAACCCATCTGGCCTATTGGCCATTTGTCGCTCTCCTAAATGCATACGGGCCCTATCTGGAGGAAATGACCAAATTCAACGCTTGTGCAATCTATCGGGCATCTCCAAGGGCAAAGACAATGCAACGGCTATGAACTCCAGCGCTGCATCAATATGCTATGTTGCTTCTACTCATTCGGTTTACCCAGGCTTGATCACACACCAGGCAGCGGAAACAAACCCACCCACTGCCGCAGCACCCACTGAACCACCAGCTGATCATGAACGTCCAGCAGGCCCTGACCCTACCGCTGACACACCTGCACCTTCAGACCCACCTCCAGACGACTCTCGAGCGACAACCAGCCACTACGAGACTACCGAACATGCCCCACGAGATCATGCTCGCCGACATTGGCACGACAATGCTTCTTGGGACAGTTCAACCTACAATCGTCGGGATCGCCGTTCCTCCTATCGCGAAGGCCATTCTCGAGATCAGCACCGTGAAGGC